TCTGCCGTTGGTTATTTCCCAGTCCCGACCCCCAATATCGGTATCTATATACCCCATCCAATTGTTGTACAACCTAGAAGGAGGCTCAGCACGATAGTACCAAGTAATCCCTTGGTATCTGCGTTCTCTCCCGTACCCCATTGCACTCCCTTGACCACCACTTTCACCTTTTGGCCCAGGGTTGAACCAATGATCAAGAAACTTTCCGTCCCAAGGTCGATCAAACCAAGTGGGATGGGGAGCAAAGACTGCTTTCAGCCCATGGAGAAGTGCAACCGTTTGGGGCGTCATTTCCGAGGCGATGTGGTTACCACGAAGATTTTCGACGTGCATGATATCTAGGAGACGCTTCGATATGCGCGATTGTGTAACAATAGTACATCGTCGAGGTAGCGACGTTGCTGGATGCTGTTGATCTTTGTAGCCCCAAATGTGGTCTGCGAAAATCCAGCTACTATTGATCGGGTTGAAAATGGGACCGAGAGTGATCAGATCTGCTTCCTCGTTCACTCCCCAGTCATATTGGTCATCTCGGGGATCTCCAGTAGGTGGCTTCGGTCCGACCGGATTGATGAAGGGTACGCTTGGTGGACCCCAAACCTGGGTACCAGCGGTTTGCTTCTCGACATAGTCGCGGAACTCAGCCCACGTTCCGTGATGATCAGGAATGTAGTAACGCTCATTGCGTTCCCAAAGACCCCTTCGTGGTTGCTTTCTCGCGAATCCCCTCAGACTCTCCAAGAAATCATAGTTATGCCCGACGACCCGTACATCCATCTCCCAATTCCATATATAATCGAATTCGGGATGATCCATGCTAAACTTCTGAACTGATAGCCATTGCGCATGGTGAACACTTTTCTCGTCATCTTCGGTGAGAGCTGTATAGATGTCCCACACGATTTGGTCGTTCCATAGTTTGGTAATTCCGTGGAACTCTCGAGGCACGTGTTCATCTAGAACATGTTGATACGCTGTCTTGTCGCCCTTCAGGTTGACTGAACGGTCGTGAACGTGCAATAGAAGAAAGACTTGGTACTCGCCGCCCGAACGGAGGGAAAGCTCAGAAATCAACGATCTGATAGCTTGTTTATCGTTTTCCGTATATCGTTTGCCAGTGAAAGTGCGAAGAAGAACAGCAGTTCGGGACTCAGTCCCTGCTGATGTTGTTGACAGTTTGTTCGGGACCTCCATGACCCCTCCATCTGCTCTGACCTCTCGTCTCTGAGCGGTCCCGGAAGTTCCATAAACGGTGTCAACAAATGCATTGGGCTTTCCAGTACCAAAACGAGCGGCGTTTTTCTTGACGCAGTTTTCTTGAAGGCTACCCCAATCGACGCTGTCCCAATTTACTGGTAGACTGTTCGCTTTGAGTTGCAATGTGTGGCCGTAAGGTCCCAGTCTACTTTCGCGTTCATAGCAGAGATTGCCGTCCATGTTGAAAATGTCGAAGCTGCCAAAGGACGGCTTCGGAAACTTAGCAGGCCTGCCCTTGAACACAAGTAAGTCCTCCACAAGCTCCCCAGTAGCACCGATACATGGTACATATGGGCGATGTTTCTCCTTCTTCCAATCCTCTCCGTTATAATCGGGATATGGGTTGAAATGGACAGGTCGATGATTTGAATATGGCTGTTCTTCCTCGCTGGATTCTCGTAATCGCGCCGCATGTAGATCTGTTCTGTTGTCTATGTCGACCAGGGAGTTCAAGGTATTGCCATAGATCGCACCACTACCGGGAAGCCTAGTGTCAAAGTCAAGTCAGCTCTGTGTGTGTATACGATGACGGCAGGACGTTTGTACAATACTCACTTCTTAGCCGCGTCGTATTCCCTAGCAAACTGGTCCCGTAGCTTCTGTTCGTGTTCTTCCTCCTTATGCTTCCTTGCTTCTTCTTCCTGTTTCTGCTTCTTTTCGGTCTGCTTTACAGCCTCTGCTTCATGTTTGAGGGCTTCTTCTTCCTTTTTCAATGCTTCCTCCTCCTTCTTCAATGCCTCCGCCTCTTGTTGCAATGCTTCAGCCTCTTGTTTCAAGCTCTCAGCCTCTTGTTCCGATGCCTTTGCGTTTTCTTGTTGCAGTTCTTCGTCTTTGTTCTTGGACAGGTCGATAGGTGAAATGGGCTGCTCGATAGAGGAGACAGGCGGTTGGTCGACAAGGCCCTCGGGAGGAGGTTCGTGTGTAACATCGTGCCAGGAGACAAGCTGCACACTCGATTCGTTTCTCAATTTGAAGCAAAAATGAATGACAATGCCAGCAAAAGCCAGCAAAAGCAAAGTTCTGGGACGAACTCTCGGGGTGACGAAACTTCTAGGAAAGGTCTGTTTGGCCATTTTCGATTTTGCTGACAACCAAGACTGAGACAAAAAGCTAATCACAATCGGATGGAGTTGCAGGACCTATGCGACCAAGAGCTGATTTGATCGTGATTGAACTTTCCCGCCTTCAACATGGGAATGACATGAGACGACAGGCTTACAAAAGCCCCAAAGGCCTTTGTTAGACTTTCATTGGAGACGCTGAAATTCGCTCGTCTTTCATTTCAGTCAACCGAGCTGATCCCGAAATGTTACGATTAGAGTTTGAACACAAGTCTGAGCAGAAAGTCAATTAAATGAAGTAAAGCACTTGGCGCATAGACAAACCTTACTGAGATTGACAGCGACATTATGAAACTCAATTTGCTTCAGACCGCCAAGAAACACGACCGCCAGGAGGTCCGGTAATGTCTACTGACTCGGTTCGCCCTGAAAAAAAAAGAGTTTCTGACTACGATAATGCCGGCTTTCGTCTCATCACGATGCCAATCCAAAAATACCACGCCTAGAAGTAGAAGCCAGTTCGTGATTCTGCGAATGGCCATTTCTCGGGGACGAAAAACATCTCGCCACAAAAGATCAGGAACCGCCGACGTTAAGGTACAATCACGATTTAGGAGAAATTCTATGAGTAGATCTCCGATTAGAGTAGGTCTGCAGATGTGATGACAACAGCTCTTGCAGCTAGGTGTCATGTGGAGTGTCAGGGACTTAGAGCACATCGGTGTATGAATGCCCACTTGAGTAATAAGGTTTCTTTCATCTTAATGAAGATACAAATCCATCATTCCCTGCTTTCCGACCTAAGAAAGCTTGATAAGAGGCCAAAAAGTGAGGAAACCACAGAACATCAGTCATGGCTTCGGGCGTTTGCAGCACCACCAAAACCGCATCCTGGAATCTCTTCTCAAAGCAGTGTTTGATAGCATGACGGCTCATCACTTCATCAAGATGATCTGATTGATTAGTTTTGTCTCCTTCTTTATTCTCCGTCTGTGAGGAGGGTTGCTGCAGCCCATGACTCTGCCACTTGTTGTGCCCAGATTCAGCCCCATGAGAAGTCTTGGGCGTGAAAGACTATTGTGCCTGCTGCTTTTTGGGTCGAAGTCCACAATGATCTTATCTCTATGGCCTAGGTTCATCATTATGACTAAGGCTTCTACCAGATGTGGCAAGAAGAATAGCTAAATTGACCCTAGGTTACGTACACAAGTTAGTATACTAATCGTGAACTATGTGCATATTCCTGTAGGCCACGCTGTTGTTATTGCTCTTCGGTGCTTTGCTGACTCGATTTTCGCAATAACTTCAGAGGAATTAAGGTGGAATAGTAGATGATTCAACCTGTAGCAGGACTCTCATCTGCCGTACCACCCAAATTGCTTAGCCAATCTTTCTGCCGAAATTTCTGAGCGTCCTAAATAGGTATCCAAGGGGAAAGTACTCGCGTATTTCTTGGGAAGGAAAAGGGAAAGTTTAAACATTTCTGTGATATCTATCTATCATGTGCGTGTATTCTAATGTCTCGACTGATCGTCGACTCGAGACCTCATACTTCAGATCTCGCGTCCCACATTAATCCCTCCCTTCTCTCTCTTTCTCACACGCGCTCACTTACTGACAAATATTGCATTTCAAATCCTTTTGCCACGGTAAATGAAGCAGCTATTCAACTTATTCAAGTGATATCTTGTCATCTTTTCCCTCGCATTGCACTACTGGTCGTGCCCTCGTAGCAGCTATCCTTAAATTTCTTAGCTCAATCTATGTACTTATGTGGTGATGCAGAATGTTTCTCTATCGATTGGCAAGGATCATGAGTATAAGATGCTTAGGGAAATTCTAATTGAGAGTGAAAGAGTTTACCAGCTTGAGCTGATCAATTGGAAGAGAAACCGATGAGTTGTCTGCCCCAGCTGAGCTAAAGAGATCTGGGACTGGTCCTATTTCTTTTCAAACACCTTGAACGATTATGTGCTGCAATACATCGAACTTTCCTTCTTTCGGAGTTCATTCTGAAGCGATCACCGAGACATGAGGTGATCTGACTCACGAGGGGACTTTATAAGCTAAACCACTACGCAGTCCGTTTTGGGGTCCGCCCGCGAGACAAACGAATGTATGAAGCTGTAATGTAACTTTGGCAGCTTTTATTAGCCCTTCTCCGAGCCTATTCAGAAGCCCTCGGACTGCCGTCCTTTCGAATAATTGGCACCGGAAGATGGTATAGATAAGACTGTTTGATTGCACAGTTCGAAGATTTATGAATCTGCACGGTAGTCAAGCCATAAAAACGGCCCTTCTACTTGTATACCACGTCAAGAGCAATCGTAGGCAAGTATAAAACTGCGTTCGATATCTTCTACTAACTTCTCGGCCGCGTTGATGCTTCATATGATATACCTACCTTGATCATAACAGTCAAATTATGGAAGGTAGTCAGACGTAGTTGGCAGGAAAACAGGAAAAGAAAGTTCTGTGTCATCACTGAGTATTGCTATAGACGGATGTGGTTGGCTTGAGAATAAGTGTGCTTCCGTCAACATCTGAATGCCGGTTGGAAATTATTGATGCTGGCATCTCAGCCATTATTTATTCACTGTTGACTCAAGACCTCAAAGTCTATGATGAATAGGTGCCACTAGTGAAAGAAAATGTCTGAGAACAACTGGCAGCCGGCGAGTCTCACGCGAGATCCCAGGTGATATCGTCCCAGCCAGCCGTGTGCTCAATTGAAACAGACTCCGGTGTATGCCCAGAAGCCTCACACAATCTGGCGACGACCTTACCAAACACAGAGTTTCGGAAATTAGACAAGAGATCCTCATCGGCGTCTTCCACGTCCAACTCGAAGTCATCAACATCCTCTAGTTCCAATTCTTGTCGAGCTGCTTGTATGGCAGCCTTGACACTGTCGTTTGCCACTTCAAGAAACTTGACGCGTTTTAAAGATGAAGCTCGTAAACCTCCCTTTTCCGTCCACAGCGCCATCAGAATTTGATTAAGGTGTAGTTTCGAGTTGGTCGTATCCTTGCCGTTATATGCCGTCTTGATCTCGAGTGTCTTTGGCTTCTTGATGATGACCCTAGTCACAGCGATTCGACCTCTCTCGTAACCATTGGTAAAGACGGAATATTCATTTCCATCTTCCGTGACATCGTACGCGCTATGGCCCTAAGCAGATAGTGAGTCTTATAGTAACTTCGAAGCTTCCACATCATCATGGTTGCATACCGCAAGCTGCAAAAGACAATTCGTAAGCACGGGTACTTTCCCCTAAGGTGTTCGTCATGTCTTAGGGAAGTTGACACTTACATTACAAAAAACAGGCCGAAGCACAACAGTCGCAAAAAGAAGGCTTGAGAGTGAGAAAAGCTTCATTACGGTAAAGCGGCTCCGCGAGAGTATTGGCAAAAAGATATCTCAAGCGAAGATAAACGTCAAGAAGGGGTCTCGGCGTATGAGTAGTTCAAGCTTGTTGTTACGCCGCGTAATAGAGGTATAATATACCTCCCGTCTAGTCCAGTCGATAACGGAGGCTTGAATGGGTGTGTTGAAATTTCAGCGATTATTGTATTGCAACATAACGCACTCTTCTGCGAGACACGAACCTTATTGCGTTAAGCGAAAGAAAGATTTATTTAAGGTTCTAAAGGGGCCCGTCTCGCTAATTAACCAGATGGACGAACCTGTTTCGACAAGGGAGAGAAAAAGCTTCGGATATTCGAGAGCAGGATTTTCAATTTCTATGCCAAAGCAAATGTTTAAACTTTCAGAACTTCTTTAGGCATTACCTTTACGTCATAATTTAACTTAGTTAAAGAATATTGAGTACGTGTTACGTCAGGACGTCTAGACCTAAATACTTTGTACCACTTGATCGACGATCATTTCCCATGAAACATATGAAGAGTACATTTAATCCTGAGAAATTTCAAACACCTTAACGTGGAAATCTTCTGCCTGAGCTTATTCACCCAGCGACTAGAATATTAACGAGTGGTTTTCTAGTGCATTTAATAAAGCTGAATTACCGACTTTAGGTAAAGTCGATGCCGATAAAAAGTCCTATATAGCTTGAGGCTAAGGCTTTAATAAGTTAATATCGGTCTTATTTAAAATCTTAACTTTAAAATATTTCGTTTTTTTAAAGGTTTTAAAATAATTAAGGATTTTAAAATGTTTATTAAATTAAATAAATCTTAATAAAAAGAGTTATATAGTAATATAAAACGTGGTTATAAACTTTATAAAAGGGAAAGTTAAAAAAGTAGAAAATTTAAAATAGAGATATTACGACCTAACACGCATAATAAGGCTAGGGCCCCGCCCTACGGGACTTACGGTAGCTACTATACTATATATATAAAAATACGAACTTAGGGTAACTCCTCTCGGGATAAAAGAACTATAAATAAGTTACGTAACTACGATTATATAATAAGATAAAGAACGGACGCCCATAAATAAATAAAATAGACAATTATAAATAAGTAGGACGAACGACCGTCTAGTAAATAGTTAAATAATAGTAAATAAGAATATTATAAAAAATATATTTAGGAACGAGACTTATATATAATATAAACTTAAGCTAGGCTTAAGGATAGACTTCTTATAGCTTCTTTAGTAATTAACTTAGTATTAGATCTTATAATCGCTTTTAACTATTTTTACTAAGAACCCTTTTTAATAAAACTATAATTAATTATTAAAGCCTTACTTATTTTATAACTTATAAATATAGCTTTAAAAAAGCTATTTATAACTATGATACTATTTATTTAGTATTCGTAGCCTTAACTTTTATTAATATACTTATTATAACTAGCTAGCCATAATATTTTAATTACTCCTATTTAGTAAGTTAACTTTATAAAACTTATTAAATAATAAAACGAACGACAATATTTTTTAAAACCCTAAGTACCCCTTTATCTAACTCTAAATAACCTATTAACTTAACTAGCGAGCTAGTTAGGGTCGAGGATAATAAGATACTTAATATTACTTACGACTCTAATAATAATATAGTTCTTAAAAAAGTAAATTATAAAAAAATATAACGTACTATTAAAAAAAGTAATAAGTAAAATAAAGAACTCGCAGAGCTCTTTAATAATAACTTTACTTAAATAGCTATAATTCTAGCTAAAAATAATAAAAATATTACCGCCCTTTAAAATATAGTTAACGAAGTTATAACTAACTTAAAAATTAAAAAAAAAAAAATAAACGACCTAAAATAAAAAGTTAAAACCCTCCGGGCCGCTACTAATATTATTAAGACTCTTATAGATAAGTAAAAAAAACTTAAACTTAATATACTTATTACTTTTAATAAAATTATTAAACGTCTTAAGGGATTTTTAATTTAAATTAGAACTTACTAAACGTTCTATATTACTAACTTCCGTAGTAAAACTAAACGAGTTATTTATGTAATAACCTTCCTTAGAGGACGAGCCTTAGAGTAGTTCGAGCTTTTTTAAAAAGAATTCCTTAGTAATAATAATTATTTACCCTATTATAAAGAGGAAACTACGAATATTTTTAGTAGTATAGTAGGATTCTAAAGCGCCCTCGAGTCCCTATTTTAAGACCCTAATAAAAAGCAATAAGCTAAAAAAGACCTAGCTAACTTTTAATAGACTAAGTCCGCTTTATATTACGTTACTAAGTTTAAGAGACTCGTAATACGACTCGATTTTACTAAAAAAACCTATATCTTTTCGTTTTATTAAGAACTAAAAGATAAAGTTAAGGACGAACTTAGTAAGATAGAAATACTAATAAAATTCCTATAGTATATCGAGCTCGTTATTAAAATTAATACCTAATTATATAAATAACGTAAAAAAAAGGGAGAGGTACGACGCCTTTAAACTAATTCTAGTAAAAAATACTAGAACTATAGTAAACTACTAAGTAACTACTAAAATAACCTAAAAAACTAATAGCGATAAAGTACGTTTTATAAATAGTACGGAGGACCTATAGACCTTAGCGTTACTAAATATAAAGAATTATAGTAAAAAAAAGACTTTAAATACTATAACTATAATAAGTTAGGATATATAGCTAGAGACTATTAATAACCTAAGCGTATTTAATACTAACCTATTTTAAAAAAGCGAGCTAATATTATAAATAAAGAAGTCCCCTATAAGTAACTCTTATAAATAGCTTATTATAACGATAGCTATTTTATTTATTAAGATAGTAAAAAATAAATAGAATAGTACCCAAAATAATTTAAAAATAAAAGATAATTTAGATATAATACTATACTATTTATTAAGACCTTAGTAGTAGTAATAAAAGAAAAAAAAATACCTACTTACCGACCCTATATTTTTAAAAAAAATAATATTAAATATATTATAATACTTTTTTAAATTTATAAAAATATAAAAAAGAAAGCTAAGATAGACCCCGTTATAAAAAACATACTTTACTTCCTTAAAGGACGAATTAAATAAAAACTCCTAGCTAGTATAAAGGAGCAACTCTTTAAATTTAAAAAAAGAGGACCTAATATAAAAAAAATTATAAATAGCCTCGTTTATATAGTATAGTAAAACTATATAAATTAGAAATAACCCGTCGAATCTAAAAGGGAACTCGATTCGGATAAATTCCTAACTAAGTCTATTTATATAATATAAAAAGTAGATAGTAATAAAAAATTTATTTATAAGATTAGAGAGTAGCTTAAAGACCTCTTATATAAAAATAAGATCAAAATAATTAAAAAACTAAACCTTAATTTTAGAATTATAAAAAAAAGAAAAATTAACTTTAACTTTAAAAAAAAAGAAAATTTTAAAATAGGAACTAGCTCTTTTTATTTTAATAAAGCAAAATTACCTTATAATTCGGACGAACTTCGTAATATCGCCCGACGACGTACTTAAATAGAAATTAATTATAGGGCCCTGCCTAGTATTAATAATATTAGTTTTAAAAAGGATAACGACGAACTATAGTATAAATATATTTACCTATTCGAGGATAACTAAACTATTTAGTTCTATAAAATTAAAGAACGTAAAAAGGTCGTAATAACCTCTTATATAGATAAAGACTATTTTCTACTTAACCCTAAAGACCCCTTTTATAAAGAATTATTTTAGGTAGAGTACCTAAATAATAAATACCTTTAGTACCTTATATATAAATAAAATAGCCGTTTTTACTTATAAAAGTACGATAGTAAACCTATCGGGGATATCTATATAAAAAACTAGCTACCTAATTAGATATTACTAAGCTTCGATAATAATAATAAAGTAATATTTAGCCTAGACCCCAGCTTTTCTATAAAGTATCTTAATAGCGAATATATAAAATAAGAAGATTATAAATACGACTAATATTAAATTTATTATATTAAAAAAGCTAAGGTATAGAAGGAATACTAAAAAAAATATAAATAAAAAAACTACTCAAAAAAATAGATAATAAAAAACTAAAAAAGCTAATTATAAAAGAACGATAAAAGGTAAAAATAAAAAAAAAGTTCTTATGTATAACTAGATAGCGTAACGACGTATATTTACGAGTTAATTTCGATATTTACGGACGAGGACTAAATATTATTATTAATAGTAGCGTATAAAAAACTTATATTTTACTAAGAATAATAAATAAACTTAACCTATTATAAGTATAAAAAAATAACCTATATTAATTATAAATAGTAAAAGGAGAACGAGTTAACTATAACTATAGATATATTAATTAGGAGACCGTATACCTCTTAATATATATTAATAATTAGTAAAAATAATTATAGTATAATATTATAGAGATTAGAGATATCGACGTTATCCTAGGAATCTTGTAATTATAAAAGCATAACCACAGATAGATTAGACTACTAGCTAGGTCCTTTAAAAAATTCTAGTTACTAAACGACTTAAAAAAAAAAAGGGTTTAAATAGATTTTTAATAACTCCTAAAAAATAAAAATAAATATAATATATAGCTTTTATTAAAATAGTAAAAAGCTCTAGGAAGTTCGTATATAGTACTAACGATTAAGGATCGTAACAATTCTAAACTATACTTAAAGAGTACTAGATATATATAAAATTATTTATAAAACCTAAAAAAATAGGATTACTAAAACATAGTAACTAGGATATAAAAATCGAATTTAAAAAAAGAGCGTAACCTAGGTTCTTTCTAATATACCTAATAAATTAAAAAAAATAAGAATACCTTAACGAATATATTAATAAAAAGCTTAAAAAGGGATATATTTAACTATCGAATTCTCTTATAAGATTCCCTTTATTCTTTATACTAAAAAAGGGCAGAAAATTAAGACTTATTATTAACTATAAGAGACTTAACGAAATTATAAAAAAGAATTA